TAAAGCACAGAAGCTCTAATCTGGCTAGCTCTAATCTCTCCCGGACAAACACAAACATAAAACAGAAGTAATGAATCAGAACTAACTATTAAAGGTGTAACAGACAGTTGACAGCTCAAGCAAACGAACAGCAGAGAGAGTACAAATCAAGAAGCATCTGGCAGCTGGCAACATCACCACGCCCAGCTCGACAAGTCTCGAGGGAGCTGCTCTCCAGGGGCCTGAAGTCAAGCAAGCTTCAGGTGCCGCCTCCAGATGCAAGCAAACGCCGTGCCCGTTCTCTCAGGAAGACTGAAATCCAGCTCCTGTGGCAGGACAGCCTGCAGCGAGAGCCGCCCTGTGACGGCCGACAGAGCGGACACCGGCTGCTGACAGGCAGTTTCCAAGCACCGACTCTGAGACGCCTGAGGCTGCGTCTTCTCGGCAACGACAGCATAGGAAAATATACAACTTCCACTTTCGGCAAGTTTAGAGAAATTAAACTACCTACCACTGAATTGATAAGAGAAATTACAAACAGAAAGGTGAACTCTTAAAGGCCGTAACTTGTTAAACCGTGTACAGTGAAAACAAGCGCTGCAAGGGAAAGTCACGGGGGCATGGGGCGAGCCAGACGGAGGCGGCCGTCAGTGCCAGGAAAACAGGCCCCAAAGGGTGAATGGGCATCACCAGCCCTGAGCAGTAACGCGACGCCGAAGCGCGCAGCGGGCGGCCAGGCGGCGGCCGTGGCCGGCCTGGGCCCACAGGCACGAGGCGGCTCGCGGACCAGGTGAGGGCCGCGCGCAAGTGCACGCCCGGAGCCCTGGCCACAGGGTCTAAAGTGGCGGCTCTTTCTCCCAGCCTTCCCTTCTTCCTCAAGAGCGCCGCACGGCAGCGAGAAGAGGCAGCGTCTCCCGGCCCCCTCCCGCCCAGGCCCGCTCCCACGGCGGCCTCCGGACAAGCGCCTTCGCCTGGATGAAGAACCAACGCTCCGGGCGCGGCCCAGAGCGGTCCCAGCCCCGGCGCCCCGGCTCACCGGCCCGGCCTGGGCCTCGCAGCTCGGCGGCGGCGCCACCAGCACGGACGCTGAGACTCGCTCCCGGGCCAGGCGGCTTGCGAAACCAGAATCCCAACCACACCTGCCAAACCGAAAGTTGCCTCTCGTTCACCTCACACCGCTCGGCAGCCGATACCGCTGTCAGCCATTTTGAGTTCTGTTCCACTGAACGCTAAGTATCCTGCCACCCCACTCGCGGCCTCTCACTGCCGCTGACCAGCTGACCGCCGGCGTGACCAGGCCGTGCTCCAGTCTAGCGGGGCCCTGGCGCCTGGCGAGGCTGGCCCCGCCCCGTCACACGGCTGCCGGTGCCCAGAAAGCCCCCTGGCGCGCGGGCGCCCCTGAGCAGATGCACTTGTGGACGCAGCCCTCTGGCCAGGATGCCGCCGAGGAGGCGCAGCAGGCGGGTCTCAGGAGAGGTCGGCGCCGTGGTCCTCAGCTTGCACTGGTAAGCCAGCCCGTCCTCCCCTTGACGTGAGCGTGCGGCGCGTCCAGCTCACATGGAGCAGCCGCGCGGTGTGGCCGCCCCAGCACCCTGGGTTCCACGGGGCCCGGCACCTCCTGCAAAGAAGCCCCCAGTCGTGACTGCCATCTGTCCAGTTGGGAATTCTAGAACTGCGCTCTTCCTCACCTGTCACCTCCCCGTCTTATCCCTGGCCTCATGGACGTCTTGGCTTCATCCTCACCAGCAGTGTGCCAGTCTGGGAAAGCCAGCCTTTGCCGGGGCCCTGGGCGCTCAGAGGAGCGCGAGCCCACTGCCTGTCCCGGAAGATGCCGGGGCAGCAACAGACGCAGGCGCGGCCGCTGTTGGCACCCGGTTTCTTTCCAAGGCACTTTCACAGCGCCCCCAAAGGACAGCAGGTTTCTGCATTGGGTCGCTTGGGCGAGCCTGCCTCGGGGAGGGGGCAGGGACGAGAGCTGGAGGGAGAGGCCCAGGCAGGCTCCAGGCCACCACGACACCACGGCATCAAACTGAGCGCCCCAAAGTGACCCCGGGAGACCACCCCTCTGCCTGCCGCCCGGTCCCGCCCTGCCTGACGTTCTCTCGGGTCTTTTCACCAGAACCTGCTGATCTTTCGATGGTTTCCCCTGGGCGCGCCTGAGCGCCGCCACGCCACATTTAGCTCCCACCTCCTTCCTGACGAAAATGCTCTTCGCTTCCCTACACAACTGCTCCTCAGTCAAAACCAGCGCAAAGCCCAGCCAGAACGGGCAGGACAAACACCCGCCCCGCCGGGCCTCAGCGCCGCGCTGCAGCCCGCCTCGCCCCCCTCGGAGTACTGAGGCCCAGTTCTAGGCTGCGGCTTCTCTCAAAACACAGAGGCCGAATCCTGCATTTTCTAGTTCCCAGCCCCGCCCAGGCCACCCTGTGGGATCCGTCCCAAACCTCCCCACAGAGCCCTGGGCAACACAGCTCACGCCCCCGCCCTGTCCGCCACGCCCGGTGGTCTGCACACCCACACTCAAATCTCCCTGGCCAGCCCCTGGCAAGTCCAGCCACAGGTCCAGGGGCACAAGGGCTGCTGCCCGCTGCCCGGGAGCTTTCAGGGAGGGCAGGGCTATAAATAGAAGTGGGAGGGAACCTGTCCCTGGCTCTCCCAGCCTTTCCTCCGGCCTGGGCTGCTGCACATTCCAGACCCTGGGGCTGCTCCAACGTGGAAGGGTGGAGGCTGTGAAGGAAGCCGGACGCGCCCAGCGCCCACTTCAGATTCAGACCGGCAACCTGGCCTTGCCCCGGCCCCGGCCCCGGGGACCTGGCTCCTCGCGTGACAGTGCCGGCTGCTTTTCCTCGTCCTCTCTAGCTGCAGAGCCTGAATAAGCGCGTCCACAGTCGCTGTTCCAATGTGATCTTCAAGCAAAAACAGTCACTGCACCCAGATTCTATAGGCCTATCTCCCCCAGATGGCCGCTGCCGTGACGCCAGGCCGAAGGCAGCGTGTGGCGGGGCTGCACCCTGACCGCGCCTCCCTCTCCCGCAGCGTGAGCGCGGTCACCAGTGTCACCTAGTGACCAAACGCACCCACTGAACGCCTCAGGGACCACGTGGCAGGGTTTAAAGGGAAGAGGGTCTCTTCTTCCCTGGAAAACACCTGACAGAAGATCGTCTCCCAGGGAGCACGGAAGGGCGTCCTCCCGCGAGGGAGCGTCCTGGCAGTGGAGGCCGCGGGGCGGTCCGGGCCCTGAAAGCGGCACTCTGGCACACTGCCAGAGTGGGATGGAGCAGGCTGAGTGAGCCCGCAGCACCCAGGGCCTGCCACGGCGACAAGGCTTGGCTTGAGGGCACGGCGGGGAGGCTGCGGGGAGGCTGCGGGGAGCGCGGCCAACCGGCCAGCCCTGTCTCTCACGGGGGAGCATTTAACATGCACGCGGGCCTCCCCGGTGGCGCAGCGGTCAGCACGCAGCTCTGCAAGCCGGCCGCAGCCGCTTCCGTGCGAGCGCGATTCCCCCATGGGAGCAGCACCCGTCTCCCCGCTGCCCCCGCAGCAGTGGACTTCACAGATCCGCCTGCTCTGCTCCCCACTGTCTCTGGGGAGTGCTCTCACCGCCCCTGCACCTCTGGCCTGCGCCCCAGTTCTGTACGCACACATAAATACATCTTTTAAAATAAAAGACACAACAGGGCGCCCTGGTGGCGCAGGGGTTGGGGCGCAGCTCTGGGAAGCTGTCCGCAGCCGCTGCCCCTGGCCAGGGAGTGACCCCCGTCTCCCCGCTGCCCCCTCAGCAGTGAGCCTGTTCTGCGCGCCACTGTGTGTCCGGGCATCCTCTCACCCCCGCACCTCTGGCCTTATTTGCATAATAAGTAAAAAGAAGTCTTTAATTAAAAAAAACACCATGTCAGGACCGTCGCACCCAGGCCCACCGGACCCCGCCGTCTAGCGCCCGCCTGGCAGAGGCCCAGCTACAGGGAAAGCCAGTCCGCGATCAACCACGGCCAAGGGCCAGGAAACGCAGGCCCCGAGCCCGGGTGGCAGGAGAGTCCGCCCAGACCCCTCCGTGAGGAAGGGGCTTCTGCAGCGCAGGCCCGGCAGGACAGCAAAGGCAGCAGCGCTCTGGCGGGGCCGGAGCCCTCGGCCCGGGCAGCTCCAGAGCACTGGCTGGCGAGCCCCAGCCCGCGGTGTGATCCGCAGCGCCAACGGCAGCGGGCTTACTTCGGCTCGCAGGCCCGGCGCAACTTTGGAAAAGCGGCTCCTTGATGACGCAGTCGCCTCCTGCCGTCTGACCTTCTCAGAAACGCAAGTGCCGTTACCACTCTCCCTGGCCACTGGTCATCCCCAAGCCTCCAGTCTCCCGGGAGGCGCGGGGCTCAGGACGGCGCCTGATTCAGGAGGGCGCGATGCTAGTGGGCGGGGCCCGGAGAAGCCAGGACCAGAGAGGGCAGCGGGCCAGCCAAGTCCTCGGAGAGGAAAGGGGCAGCCTTCATCTGGGTCTGGGTTCGCACCTGTCTTACGGTGGCATTTTAAGGTTTTCAAAATTACACGACAGAACGCTCATTTTGAACACCCTTCGAAGCGCTCCTGACCCCTTTGGGCTTTGATCACAAGCACCTCGGCGCCCCTGGCTAGCCCCTTCAGGGTGCGCGCCCTGTAATACACCGGGCAGCCCCGGGCGGCGCAGAGCACCCAGCACCACAAAAGGGGTGAGCTGCTGACGGAAAACTGAGCCCGGAGCCGCGCGTCAGGGCGCACCAATGCAGGACGGCCGCTGGCAGAGGGCACTGCCTCGGGTGAACGGGTAACGCCACGGGAGACCAGCGAAGCGTGGACGCCTCGCCCCTCGGCCCTGCAAGCCCCCTGCTCCCCTCAGCGGGGGCCCTGAAACGTGCACGGAGCAGAGCCGACAGCACGAGCCTGGGCCCGACCGCCCGCCCGCAGAGGCCCTGCGCGTCGCGGCAGACGGCGGGGGTCTCACTCCCTGAGCAAACCCCCCCCTCCCGCAGGCCCGGCCGCCCAGCCCCGTCTCCCACCTCTTGGCCTCCTCCAGGTGACAGAGGTACTCGTAGGCAACGTTCTGGCGCCTGCGCTCGTCCATCTCCTCGGCGGTGAGCCTCTCATTGTCCAGGACAGCTGAAACGGCAGAGGGGGCGTGAGCCGCACCCCCCCAGCGCTGCCCAAC